TAACTGTTGAATCCATCAGTGCTCTGCAGCATCATGTTCGGCTCGAGAGTTTTGATGTGCCCTGAAATGCAATGCGCCCTGGATGAATTCTCACAAATCGTYCACAAGGTGTTCGAGCACAGCTCGCGGCTGATGAACTTTCCTCCCAGGTTAGCTCAACTGTTGCACCTGCGCATCTGGCGGGACTTTGAGAGCAATGTGGGAGAGGTGCTGCAGCAGGGTGCATCCATAATAGAGCTCTGCATTAGCTTGCAGCGAGCGCAGCCGCAGTCGGAGCAGGAGCAGGAGGAGGCCTTATATCACAAGCTGCAGGCAGCGGCGGTGCCCAGCGAGATGATCAAACGAATTTTCGTGGATCTGGTCATAGCAGCAGGTGACACGGTCTGCAGCTGAGCAGYTTAACCYATCTCTAGTTACAATAATTTCCTATCAATTCCCCACAGACCGCGTTCAGCAGTCAGTGGGCCCTGTATGTGCTCTCCTGCGATCAGCCGCTGCAACGTCGCATCGCTCAAGAACGAGCTGCAGCTGAATCGCAGCTGCTGCATGGCCTGATCAAGGAAGCACTACGACTGTACCCAGTTGCCCCATTCATTGGCCGCTACATGCCGCAGGACACACAAATAGGTGGCCATTACGTGGAGAAAGGCGTGAGTTGTCCGCAGTCACTTTATACCCTTCGAACCGGACTGATTATCAGCATTTCTATTGCAGACGCTTGTGCTCATCTCTCTCTACACATCCGGCAGGGATCCGGCACACTTTGAGCAACCGCTCAAAGTTCTGCCCGAGCGCTGGATTCTCGGGCAGACGGAGCAGGTGCATCAGTCGCATGGCACCCTGCCTTTTGCCATTGGCCAGCGCTCCTGCATCGGGCGACGCGTTGCCCTAAAGCAACTGCACATGCTGCTTGGCAAGTGCGCCTCGCAGTTCAGCATGCAGTGCCTCAATGAACAGCCGGTGGACTGCATCCTGCGCATGGTGACTGTGCCCAATCAGACCTTACGCCTGGCTCTGACCCTCAAACCGAAAGTGGCAGCACTCTAATATCGACTGGGGCTCATTATAACCATTCTTCATACCTAATACACTAATGCACGTGAGGGGAATTAACTAAGCTGTAGCCCATACATACGTAGTTAACACACATCATTGTAATCTTATTCTAATTTATGTTGGCTTAGTAGTAAAGTAAAGTTTCATATGCAGACTCGAGGTCTCTACGATGGCACTTGGTTGTCAATGAGAATTTCTGCAGTTCGCTCCAGCAGCATGAGCAAGTGTCTCTCGTCCGTTATTTTCTTGCCGCCTGGCTGCAGCATTTCCTCGAATGATTTGCTGGCCAGCTGCCGCAGTGCATCGGCCTCGCCGCCAGTTGCCTCCACCATCTGTGTAAGTACTCCGTGTGGTTTCTGTAGCAGCACATGTGGTACATCAAACTCCACTGCATTGCCGGCGTCCATTACTACAATGCGATCCGAGTCCATGACAGTGTGCAATCTGTGTGCGACAGTCAAAACTGTACAGGTCTGAAACTTGTCACGAATCGTACGCTGGATCAGTGAATCGGTGCTAGAAGGAAAACGGGCCTAGTAACTACGAACTGAGCATGATTGAAATATAGTTACAGTAGATCCACATTTGCAGTTGCTTCGTCCAGCACTAGGATTTTATTGTTGCGCAGGATCGCACGTGCCAAGCAAAGGAGCTGTCGTTGACCCACACTGAAATTGCTACCACGTTCGGTGACCTCGAAGTCCAGACTAGGAATCACTCCTCGCAGTTCAACAGCTTCGAGAGCAGACCACAGTTTCAAGTCGCTGTACCGTCCAAAGGGATCCAGATTATACCGAATGGTGGCCGAGAAGAGCACAGGATCTTGTGGTATAATGGAAATGCGTGTACGTAGTGTCTCCAGTGAGATGCTGCCCGTCTCGATGTCGTCTATGTAGATGCCACCATCAATGTATGCCAGACGAAAGAGTGCCCCAATAAGCGAGGACTTTCCTGCTCCCGTGCGACCCACGACTCCCACCTTCCAGCCGGGCTCGATAACTAGATTGAGGTGATTGAGCACAGCTAATCCATTTGGATCATAGCGTAAGCTCATGTCCCGAAATTCAATCTTTCCATGCTGTGGCCAATGTGGGGAAAGCTCATTGTTATCACTGTGTGGCGACTGCTCCTGCTCCAATTCCGTGTACTCCAGTACCCGTTCAACACTTGTCATTTGCTGGAGTGACTCGGCGAACTCTCGAACGCAATACTGAACCATGCCAGAGAGAAGAATGGCTTGAGAGATGGCCAAGCCAACATTGCCGCTGAAAGTGGCTGAGAATGGAAGAGTTAYTTCAGGTTATTTCTTAGGTTACTCTCAGACTGACTGACAAACCTCCGCTGAGCCCAATAAAGCTAAATGTAACAACTGCGAGAAATACCGAATTGATTGTATCCACCCACAGTCCGAGCGCCGTGTTTGTGGCCTCTGCCAAGTGCCAAACGCCGCTGTGCACATCCTGCAGCAGATCGAATTCCCTGATAGCTGTGCTCTGCATCTGGCGAGAGCGAATAATCGAAATGCCAGATAAAGTTGATGTCAAATGTGAAATCACGGGACTTCGACAAATCCCCTCCATGCGCTTCAGGTCCTGCGAGGGTCGCAGATACACCTTCAGTATGAGCATATCCAGGAGAGTTACAACCACTACAGCGGGACACAGCATCGGATTTACAACGACAATCAAGGCCAATATACCGAATATAACCAAACTATGTTGTATAAACTCGAGCATATGTCGAGGCAGCCATTCGTCCATGGTGCCAATGTCCTTCGAGAAGCGATTGAGTATTCGGCCGGAGGTGTTATTGTGGAAGAACCGCATGCTCGCATGCAAAATGCAACGGAACATTCGATTGTGCAAGACTTTCGATGCATGCATGCATGCCTTGAGAAACAGGTAACCGCGAAATGTAGTCATGAAGACCACACCCAAAATGAGACCTCCATAGATGTACATGCATTCATAGGTGCTCAGACTGGTGGGCTCGCTTTGGGAGCGTAGATGCTCCTGCTGCGTCCAGAAGTTGGAAAAGTAATCGGAGCCGCTGAAAACGATTTGCGATAGCAACATGATGCACACCATGAAGCCAATGCCCAGCAATGAGCTGCCCGCCTTGAAGTATTCGAGGA